GAGCGGCCGCTGCACTCCAGTCTGGGCAACAGAGTGAGACTCCAACTCAAAAAAACAAAAAGCAAAAAAAAAAACTCCCTCACCTTAAAGAGAAGTCACAAGAGCATTTCGTTTTACTTATTTATTTGACTTTTTATAGAAACAGGGTCTTCCTATGTTGCCCAGGTTGGTATCAAACTCCTGGGCTCAAGGGATCCTCCACCCTCGGCCTCCCAAAGTGCTGGCATGACAGGTGTGAGCCACCATGCCCAGCCAAGTTTTTCTTAGATTATTCACACCTGTCCACCGTGAGTGTCAGTACCTGAAGCATGTCAGCCACAGCCTTGGTTTGGGCACTCTTAGCTTAGAAATTTTTTTTTTTTTTTGAGTTGGGAGTTTCACTCCGTCGCCCAGACTGGAGTGCAGTGGCCGCTCCCGGCCACCACAGCCTCGACCCACTGGACTCTGACGATCCTTCCACCTCAGCCTTCCGAGTAGCCAGAATTACAGGCGCATGGACCACGCCTGGTTGATTTTTGATTTATTGTAGAGATGAGGTTTTGCTGCCCAGGCTTTGGCATGGAAGAAGCAGCCCATGTGCACAGGAAGAAGGGTTTTGCAAGAGAAGGAAGAGCTGGGACTAAGGTGGAAGGTGCAGACGAACTTGAAGTGTCCTAAAACAGGACTTGAAAGAGATGAGAGCAGAGGTAGAAACTGGGATATTTTATTAGATGAAAATCATGGAAGATCTTGAGCAGCATCATGGTGTGATCCAATTTGCTATTTTTGTGTTTATGTTCATTTTATGTTACATCACCTTTGCTGAGGCATAATTACTACAATAAAATGCATTTTTTTTTTTTTTGAATTGGAGTCTCTGTTGCCCAGTGGCTGGAGTGCAGTAGCATGCTCACAGCCACCCCAGTGTCGACCTGCTGGACTCCAGCGATCCTTCCGCCTCAGCCTTCCAAGTAGCCGGAACTATAGACATGCGCTACCATGCCTGGGTAATTTTTTGATTTATTGTAGAGACGAGGTCTTAACATATTGCCCAGAATGGTCTCGAACATGTGGGCTCTGGCATTCCTCTCACCTTGGCCTCCCAAATTGCTGGGATTACAGGCTTGAGAAAATGCATCTATTTTAAGTGTGCATTTGGATGAGTATTGGCAGATGCATGTAACCACCACCCTAATCAAGATATAGAACATTTCCATCAATCCAAAAAGCTTCCTCTTGCCTCTTTGCAGTCAGTCTCCCCAACCTCCAAAGCCCGCATCCCTTCTGTCCTCCATGGAATATTGCCGGTTTGCTTTCTATCCCTATATATTAGTTTAACCTATTCTAGAAATTCCTGTTAGTGAACTCTTGCAGTCCAAACTGCAACCACAGTGACCCCTTTAAAAAGTAAAACATCGTACACTGCTAGTGAAAGTATATAAAGTGACACAACCACTTTGAAACACACTGCATGTGGCTGACTTCTTTCACTGGAAATAATGTTGTTTAGATTCATCTATATTGTTGCGTGTATGGTAGCTCTTCCCTTTTTATTACTGAGTAATTTCCATTATAAGAATACACCAAGCCGGGCTGGGTGGCTCAGCCTGTAATCCCGCGCCTTTGGGAGGCTGAGGTGAGTGAATTGCCTGAGCCCGCGGGTTCGAGACCCGCCTGGGCAGTGAGACCTCATCTCTCTATAAATCAAAAAGTCAGCTGGGCGTGGTGGCACATGCCTGTAATTCCAGCTACTCGGAAGGCTGAGGCGGAAGGATTACTGGAGCCCAGCAGGCGAGGCTGCGGTGGCCGGGAGCAGCCACTGCACTCCAGTCTGGGCGACAGAGTGAGACTCCAACTCAAAAAAAAAAAAAAAAATACACCATTGTTGATCCATTCACCAGTGGATATTTTGGTTGTTTCTACTTTGGGAATATTATAATAATGCTGCTGTGAACATTTATGTCCAAGCCTTTGTGTGGATGTAGGTTTTTATTTCTCCTGGGTAAATACCTCAGAGTGAGATTGTTTTAACTTTATGAGAAACTATCAAATTGTTTTCTAAAGTGATTGTGCCACTTTACACTTTCACTAGCAGTGGATGATGTTTTACTTTGAAAGGTTGACATCACTCTGGCTGCAGTTTGGACCCAGATCTACAACCTACATGGATTGAAAATGACATTTCATGCTGAATTTAGGGGAAAAAAACACAAAAACCTGCAGAACATAGCTAGCAGATTCCAAACCACAGTCCTCAATGCCTGGTGTGGGGCAACTCACATGGATAATGTCTTGCTATCTGGATGCCCCAGCTCTCCTCTTACGACTTGACTTTGATTTAAAGATTAGAGTAAGGTGGGGCTCAGTGGCTTAGCCTGTAATCCCAGCAATTTGGTAGGCCAAGGCAAGAGGATTGCCTGAGCCCATGGGTTCAAGACCAGCCTGGGCAACTTGGCGAGACCTTGTCTCTATAATAAATTTTTTTTTTAAATTAGCTGATCATGGTAGCATGCACCAGTAGTTCCAACTATTTGGAAGGTTGAGGTGGAAGGATTGCTGGAGCCCAGTAGTTCGACACCTGGGTGGCCGTGAGTGTGCCACCACACTCCAGCCTAGACGACAGAGTGAGAATCCAACTCAAAAAATAAATAAATAGATAGATATATAAATATTAGAGTAATACCTGAATGTTCACTCACCTGTTTGCTTTCTGAGTCTTCTGATAAGGGCAATGAAGGATACAAGTTTTTATCAGGAGCAACTTTCATCCAAAGGATTTTCTCTACTCATCCATGTACAGTTCAGTCATGATATTTACTGTGATAACCTCTGAAAAATAACAAGCTGTCATTTTCTAGGACTACTTCTTGAGTCTCATGGGTTTTATTTTTTCTGTCTAAAGGGATGATTCAGACAAACATAGTTTCCAAGACTCAAAAGGATGTCATCAGAAGGCCGACATTTGTGTCTCTGCGGGATGTGGAGCAGATGAGAAGAGGGCCCAAGTGAGTGTTCTGAGGCACTGTGTGTTGCAGTTGTGTGACATGGTCTTTCCCTGCATGCATCAAGTCTCTCATGAATCTGAACCCTGTTTTCTTGAGAAGTTCCTGCTTGCATTCCACTGCAGTTTCCTTTTGCTTTATCTATAAGTAAGCAGCATGGTGTGACTGAAAGAATACTAGACCAGGACACTAGTTTTCTCTTCTAAGCACAGAGGTCTTTAGGCAAATCTCTTAAATACTCTGGGCCTCAGCTTCTCCAGCTGTAAATAACTGGGTGAATGTGGTATACCTTATAATCAAATGTGCTGGGGTTTTGTTTTGCTGTGGATTCTTCTGTGTCTTTAATTTCGTTGTGTGGTTTTACAGAGGATGGGAGGCTGAGAAAGAGATGGAGTGAGAAAAAAAAAGGATGAGGTAGCCATCTGAGCAAGGGCTTTGGAGAAAGATTAAAGGGGATCTTTAAAGGAAGTGTTGCTGTGGGAGTTCATTGTAACTCTCCTTGCGAAACTGTAAAATTGTTCATTGTTCATGACTATTTTTGGAGTTGGATTTTTTTCTGGGTGATGTGGGATTTTGTAAAACAGGCTTCAAGACAGGTATGAAATCAAAGTTTTCTAATTAGAGTATTTTGGTTGTGAGAATTCAAGGTAGTTCATGAAAAAGGGAAGTTACTAAGAGGATTAGTCATTGTGAGGTTGTTTATGAAAAACAACTCACCAGAACCCAAGAGCTGGAATGAGCTCTAGCAGGCCTCAAAAGTGGGAGTTGGTTTGAACTCTGCTTTAGAATCGGAGCAGCCTGGGGTCACAGACCCTTGCCTGTGATCAGGTTAACAACCCAGACTCTGGGTCTAGATCACCTAAGTGGAAATGCTACCCTGCTAACTCATTAGCTGTGTGGATTTGGACAGATGAAACCCCCACCCCCCCTGCACCTTCTTATTTATACAGTGGGCTTAATAGTAGGCCTTCCTTAAGGTTGCTTGAGTGATACATTCCAGACACTCAGAAAGTAACTAATACAACAGGGTGTTCAGTAAATGTTACCTGTTTTTGTTATTACTATTTTTATTTCCCTGCTATTAACAGCCTCAGTAACTATATACATGAAGTTGACTTAATTTTAACCTCAGAAGCCCAGTCTGCATTTCCCTTCAGACTTATCCTCTGCCACTAATTGCCAAGTTTTCTCTGAAGTTCCTAATTAAATTCCCTAAGAATTAGAATCCCATTGGTCTGGCTATCTGGAGTCCCTTCCAGTACCATTAATATTCAGATGAATAAAGTGAAAAACTAAGGAGAGGGAGGAATAGGGCCCAGGCCATCCTGGAGCTTCCATTCTGGTGGAAAAGGCAATATGTCAGGTGGGAAAAAGACTGAGTGGGGGATGGGAGGTGCCATTTGCATTCAGGTGACTAATGAGAGCCTCACAGCTGCTTCCTAGTCATTCAAATGGTTCTGGCAGGGTGATTGACAAAAAATTCATTGAACTGTATTTTCTTTTCTTTTCTTTTTCTTTTTTGAGTTGGAGTTGGAGTCTCACTCTGTCACCCAGACTGGAGTGCAGTGGCCACTC